TTGATTCTGTCAAGGATTAGAGCTCCTAGCCGAGTTTTCATGGTGCCCTAGCCAATCCCTGAACTGTCATCGTTCGGCGATTGTGTTCATTAATTTTGCTGGGGCAAGGGCAGATTTATCAATTTATTCGGCCTAAATATCAGAGTTCCTAGCCGAATTGTCATGGTGCCCCAGCCAATCCCTGAACTGCCATCGTTTGGCGGTACTGTTCATCAATTTTGCTGAGGCAAGGGCAGATTCATTAATCTATTTGGCCTAATATCATAGCTCCTAGTTGAATTGTTATGGTGCCCCAGCCAATCCCTGAACTGCCGTTGTTCAGTGGTTTTGTTCATCAATTTTGCTAAGGCAAGGGCAGATTCATCAATCTATTCGGCCTAAATATTAGAGCTCCTAGCCGAATTGTCATGGTGCCCCAGCCAATCCCTGAACTGCAGTTTTTCGGCAGTCCTGTTCATCAACTTGTTGGGGGCAAGGGCATATTCACTAATATATTCGGCTAAGGTACAGTGCTATATCGTTATTTTTGCACTGGATTAATTCAGTAGTTTGTTCCATTCATCACATTTCATGTTTTTACATCTTACTTAGCCGTTAACACACACATGCATCAGGCAAAAAGGCAAAAGCAATTTCCATTCGTAAACTCACATCTTTACATTTTACTTAGCCGTTAACAAGCACATGCATCTGGCAGAAAGGCAAAAACAATTTTCATTCATAAACCATAAATAAGCATAAGTCATTTTACAAATGAAAATTCATCCAGCACACAGGCCAAAGTAATTTTCATTCATAAACTAAAAATAAACAAAAGTCATTTTACAAATGAAAACTGCCCTACGTCAGCTTCTTACAAAAGTGGACAGTGAAAAACCTAATAACTCTAACAAAACCTACACACAATACCAAAAAACAAAAAAGAAAAACACTTGACTCTAGATCAGTCTTCGGGGTCAAACTCCAGCGGCTTAATGTCTACCTGCTCGTACAGAATTGGCTGCTCCAGCACCACGTTAACGGCAGTTAAGGCTTTCAGCCAGCCGTGTTTGAACCCTCTATTTTTGAACTTCGGCACTTCTTCTACATAGTCCGCCAAGGCTGCATCCTTGCCAACCTGGAATAACTTGGAAATCTCGAACTCAGCGTTTGCCATCGCCCTCTTCGACCCTTCCAAATCAACCTCTAGCTTGGTAATTTTCTCGTTTGCCAATTTGAGCGCTTCCTCGTTGGCATTCGCCCTCTCCTAGGCGGCCACCTTTAACTCGTCAGCAGTCCTGGCCTTATCTACTTTAGAATCGGCCCTATCTCTCTCTGCCGCCACTTTCATGGCCTCAGACTTGGCGCGAAGAGAGGCCTCTGCCACATTTCCCTTCTCATTTTCCAACTGGGCTGTAAGGAATCCGATTTGTTCGATGGCGTCATGTTGGCAACGGCCAATTTCAGCTATCCTTCATGCCGCCTACAAAACAAGGGATCAATAAGTTAATATAAGAACTCCTTGTGGTTAGCCTTGCAGAATTATAAATGATCACGTACCAATACCGCCGATTGGGCGGCTAATGCGATGGCCAGCAGATCGACCTCTGCCCTAAAAGTTGCTCTGTCAATGGGCTGGGAAATGGAGGAGGCCAAGCTTAAGGCCATAGCTGGGTCTCTTATATCCGATGCATCAGAGGCAACCGGTATGTTCCTTACCCTTGGTTGTATTATAAACGGCACAACCAAGTCCGACTCTTCCATGCGCGGCCGTTTATCCGCTGGACTTTCCAAATCATCGGCTTCGTACTCGGCTGGACGTTTTTCCCCCCTAAGCTCCGTCACTTGAGCATCCTGTTGATCGGCAACAGGCTCTATTTCGGCCACTTCAATCTGAACCTCCTCTTCAACAGGAGCAAGTGCAGGAGTTTCTTTCCTAGCGTCGGATGGAGGGGGTGGAGGTTCGTTTCGCTCGGCTTCGGCCCTCCTACGGGCAGCCATCCTCTCGGCATTTTTTCGTTTGGCCAATTGAGTGAGCAACTCACCAGCCATGTTGTTAGAGTAGGAGTCGGGTAAGTCCCCTAAGTCGGTGAAAATGTCCTCGAATGGCATGTCCGCTCGGCTGGAAGTGGATTGTTGACTGAGGCCGGCTTCCTCAAAAGCCAAATTTAGTGCTGCGTCAACCTCCCCCTCTAATCCATTGGATCCATCCAAAGGTGGTTAATTCGGCTACTCAGCGACTCCTGCTGCTGCTTGTTCATCCGCCGGCTCTGGGTCTGAAGCCTCAAAACCGACCTGCCTAAGATTCTTGAAGCTCAGAAAAACGAGCGCTATAAGGTGCTGTTCACCCCTTGGAATCGGAATATTTTCTACGGTCGAGAAAGTAGTGTAGGTTGGCTTGTATCTAAATAGAATGTGGGCCGCCCTCCCTTATTTCTGTACATTCGGACGGCCAAAGAACTGAAGTACCGTTTTGATCTACGCAAGTACGGCGTTGTCGGCCGAAAGTAGAATTTTCTTCAAATTGTTTCCTGCACTAATAAAATGGTAAACATTTAGAATTTGAACTAGATGTTTAATAAAAATTCATGGGGGGGTTAAACGGTCACCTGGTTCACCCCTTCGCCTGGGCACTGGATCTTGGCGATATTCGCCCTCGCCGAATTCCCAGTTTCCACGAACCATAGTGACCAAGTGATGGTCGGTGTCCTTGGCCCTGAGAAAGTAGCGCCACTGCCGTCCAGAGGATTTGGCCAAGGCATAACAATGCCGAATGGCAAGGACTCCAAGGTTAAGCCTAAGGCACCAGTTTAGTTCTATAATACCCATTATTATTCGGAAAAACTTTACGTTTGGCTGAGAAGGGATTAAACCCCAATAACGAAGGACAACCCTTAAAAGTGGATGAAGGGGGAAACGGACTCCACCCTCTGCGATTGACAGGATAGGAAAGACGATTGTGCTCTCATCAGTCCTCTCCGTGTCAATCACATTCTCTGCCAAAAGTGATAGATGAACGTCATCAGGAATAGAAAAGTGGCGACGGAAGCCAGAGACTCGCTCTGTAGAAAGAAGGGCTCTTAGATGTTTGGCCATCACAGCGTGAAAAACGGACACTCTGCACAGCAAGCAAACAAAGAAAAAGTTGTAGAAGGCGAGAAGCGAGGAAGTTGAATTGACAGGCAACAAGAAATCTTGAGCATTTAAGAGAGAACATATAGACAAAAAGAAAACACGGTTTCAAATCATATTAAATGAGTGAAATGTACGAAGGGGCGGGAAACTGTAATGATGCTCAAAAGTAGTAGGCGCCTTGATGCTTGCATTGGAGTAAGGGATACCGCTATATTTTCTGACTCTCTAGGTCCAAGGACCAAACATGCCAACTAACTAACGTTAATAGGATGTTTAGGGGGCAATTGTGGGGGCCGAATAGATTCTATTATGCACAGAGGGGCAAATAGATTGAAGAGAGAAACCAAGTGAATTACACGGCTCCATCCCGGAGGGATAAAGGCCGAATAACCAGATCAGACAAATAGTCAGCTGAAGACCCGGCCGAGTATGAACAGTTAGCTGAATGAGGGATTATTCATTAGGGAAAAAAGTGGGCCCAACCGTCAACATCAAGGACGACTATAAATAAGGAGAGTGCCAGCTAACACGAGGTATGTGAGAAAAAGTCTAAAACTTGAGATATAAGAAACCAAGAGAGTATACACTGACTTGTCCGTCGGAGTGCTAATTTCAACACCCCCGACCGGAGTGTTCATTCCTTTTCAGGTGACTATCTAAGGATCACAAGCGCCCTCCAGGATCCGAAGAGTATTTATGATCCACTTCTCCACACCCCTCCTCAAGCTCAATGTTGTAATGCAGAGATTAAGTTGAGCTTGGAAAGTAAATCAAAAAATTGTCCTGGAGGATGAGCCTTGGTGAAAATGTCAGCTATTTGACAGACAGAGGTAACAAACATAAGACAAACAGTGCCACTAGTAACGTGTTGCCGGATGAAGGAAGACATCATTATGTGCAATCTGAATAGCACTCTGATTGTCACAATAGAAGTTAGTGGCAACAAGATGAGGAATTCCTATATTAGTAAGAAGCCAACGGAGCTACACAAGCTCTTGAGTAGTATCCGCAAAAGCAGGGTACTCAGCCTCAGTACTAGAACGAGCAACAAGAGTTTACTTCTTGCTACACCAAGCAATGAGAGAATCACCCAAGAAGAAGCAGAACCCTGTAGTAGAGTGGCGGTCAGTAGGATCCCCTGCCCAATCTGCATCACAAAAAGCAAGTAACTGTAGAGAAGAGTGTACTAAGTAGTGAAGACCATGGAACATAGTGCCTTTTAGATAGCGCAAAATATGAACTAGAGCATTATAGTATAGAGTGCGAGGAGCAGCCATGAACTGACTGACAATGTGAACAACATAGGAAATGTTCGGACAAGTAATCGTGAGATAGACAAGACTGCCATCTAACTGACGATATAAAGTAGGATCATATAATAGGTGACCATCAAGAGGTATGAGACGAGTCTTAGGATCAACATAAGTAGTAGATGTCTTGCAATCGGTAAGACCAGCACGAGTCAAGAGATCAGAGATATACTTGGCCTGGGTGAGAAAATAACTAGAAAGATCATGAGAAATTTCCAAGCTGAGGAAATAGCTAAGCAAACCCAAATCTTTCATCTCAAACTGGTGACTGAGGAATTTTTTGAGACTAGAGATACCCGTTATGTCATCGCCAGTGATGATCGTGTCATCCACGTAGATAAGAAGAAGGATAATACCACGCTCTGTCTGATGTATAAACAAGGCAGAATCATAAGCACTGGAGGAGAAACCAAAGGCATGAATGGTAGAACTGAACTTGGCAAACCAAGCATGAGGAGCTTATTTCAACCCATACAAAGCACGGCGAAGGTTGTAAACTTTGATGAATGGAACAGAGAACCAGGCAGAGGTTGCATAGAAACTTTCTCAGTGAGATCACCATTGAGAAAGGCGTTCTTAACATCCATCTGACAAACACTCTAGTGGTAAGTAGCAGCAACGGCTAATAAGCTGCGAACTGAAGTAAGACGAGCAACAGCAGTAAATGTTTCCTCATGGTCAATCCCATACTTTTGAGTGAATCCCCGAGCGACAAGATGGGCTTTGTAACGTTCAATGGAACCAGCAAAATGAGTTTTGATCTTATAAACCCATTTACAACTAACAGCAGCCTTGCCAAGAGGAAGATCAACCATGTCCCAGGTACGAGTTTTATCCAAAGCCAGTAGTTCATTAGTCATAACTTGCATCCAAAGAGGGTTAGAACAAGCCTCATGATAGGAAGTAGGTTCATGAGAGGAAAAAATAGTGGAACCAACAATATAATCATAGAGAATAACAAAAGGTTGCTTTATCAGAGTCGAATGACAATCTACTAAAGAAGATGGTGGTAGAGATAGAGAAAGCTCCACAAGAGATGATGGAGGAGACTCCACAAGAGGTAGTAGAGGAGGCATAGGACCATCGTCAGATATAGAAACCTGATGATTAACAGTAGGCATAGGCAGCTGTGAAGGCGTTGGACCAGAATCTGCGTCAAATTCAGGAGACAACAAGTCTATAGAAAGATTAGTAAAAAACAGGGAATGGGTGGACTGTGGTAGGTGAAACTTACACAAAGTAGAGAACATTTTGTGTTCTCAGAAAATCACATGACGAGAAATACGAAGACGTTTGGAGACTAGATCCCAACAATGATACCCTTTATGTTCTATACCATACCCAAAAAAATAGCAAAGACGAGAACGAGGTTCTAGTTTAGTATATTCATGAGGTTAAAAGAGAATAAAACAAGCATAGCCAAAAACTTTAAGAGTGATGTATGTAGGAAGAGAACCATACAGACATTCATAAGGAGAGAGATTAGCTATGAGAGAAGTAGGCACACGATTTATGGTGTAGATAGCAGTTAGAACAGCTTCCCCGAGCACTTTTCTGGACATGAAGACGAGATGAGAAGAGCTTGAGTAGTGTCTAGAATATGACGATGCTTTCTTTCAATGCAACCATTTTGTTGGGACGTGCCTACACAAGAACGATGAGATTGGGTACCGTGTGCCCGAAGAAAGGAAAAAAAAAAAACCATAATCCACACATTCCATAGCGTTATCAGAATGAAAGATTTTAATAGTTTGAGAAAACTATGTGTGGACCGTGGAAGATAAATCATAGTAAATCCGTTTAAGTTCAGACCGATTGTTGAGAAGAAATATCCAAGTATAACGAGAAAAATCATCAACAAAAATCACAAAATATCTAGACCCCCCATGGTTGGGGTGGGGGAGGGTCCCCAAATATCTGAATGCACAAAAGCAAACGGGCAGTAGAAATAGAATTACTTTTATTAAAAGGTGATGCAGGTTGTTTAGTAATTTGACAAGGTAAATAATCAACATTTTCAGAACTAAGACAACCTAACAGACCACTAGAAACAAAATTTTTTAAACTACTACAAGAGACATGTCCTAAACGACAATGCCAAAGGTGAAAAGAAGACATATAAGTAGAAACAGTGAAAGAGGCAACAGAAGCAGCATGGGATGATGGAGATGGAATGCGAAGATGACGAAGCTCGAACAGACATCCATGCCTACAGCTTATCCCAAGGATCTATTTCGTTTGAGGGTCCTGCACCAAACAACCATTAGCAAAAATGGTGACGGTGAGACCAAGTTTACACAACTGACCAATAGAGATAAGGTTTAATTTAAGAGCGTGAATGTGCTAAACATTAGAAAGTGATACAATGGAAGTAGAAATTTGACCAATGTGACTAACAGACATATGAGAACCAACAGCAGTATGTATAGGGGGAACATAAAAGGATGATGAGATAGAAAAAAATATAGTAGAATCGGAGGTCATATGATTACAGCAGGCGGAATCAAAATACCATGAAGGATTACCTGATGTGACAGAAAGAGTAAGAGACTGAAGAATATCGAATTTGGCAAGCACCTGCTGGATAATGGACTCAACATCATCCATAGAAAATGATGGAGCAATAGGATCAGTAGAGTGGTGAGTGCAAGAACTCGTTGATGCAGCAACAACAACAGCAGGGCGAGAACCAGTAGCAGATTTGGACTGATGCTCAGAATGTGAGGACCCTTTCTTGGATAAAAAAATAGTGGCAGCTAGAGGACAATTGCTTTGGAGATAACTTGGAGCAGTCTTGTGGCAAGTCAAGCATTCACGAACTTGGCATTGAAGTAATGAATGATTGGCTGGTAGGGCATGTTTGCGACAGTAAATGCATGAGCTAGGAGGCTGTGAAGATGAAGAACCCCATGATAATGGTGTAGCAAGAACATAATCCAAGTTTGGAGTTTTCAGCATCCCCAAACGACTTTTTTCGGACAAGAGTTCAATAATGGCTTGCTCCAAAGTTGGTAAGGACAAACAATGGAGTAAGGAAGCACACACAAGTTTAGAGGTGCTATAAAAAGCCGTAAGAAACTGCAATAGGCGCTGATGATTCATAAGAACAATAAATAACTATGCATCCTTAGAATGTGCCCAAGTAGGTTCAAAAAGAGCCAACTGGTCCCAAACAGATACCATTTGGGACAAAAAATCATTGATGGACTGACCAGGCTCTTGGCGCATGTGATGAAGAGTTTGTAGGAGTTGATATTGGTGAGCATGTCCAATAGTCCGATAGTGGTCCTTTAAGAAATCCCAAATTGCCTTGGCAGGAGAGACAATGGAATCATCATCTTGAAAGCGGCCAAACAGAAGGTTAATGGAAGGAACAGAAGTAGCCCGGAACCATGTGATAATCTGGTAGTTCTTCCGTTTCCATTTATCAAGATGCTCATCGAAAGCAGAGGCAGTCACTTTTTCTTTCTGGATGGGTTTAGAAAATGCACCAGTGATAATACACCAAAACCGCTTCCCTTTGATGAATCTAGAGAGAGCTTGGGCCCAGAGAATATAGTCGAACCTATCAAGTGTAATAGAGACGGAATGGATGTTGTCAGAACGATCTATGATGCTCAAACTGGGCAAAAAAAAGAAGGTGCTTTATAGAGGCTAATTTTTCCAAAACATAACATACCAGCAGATTCAGGAGGACGAAAACAAAAAGGATATGGTCTAAAGGAAGTGAAATGACTGGTCAAAGTGGTTTGACCAATCTGGTCAACTGGGGCTAATGCCACAACAAGGAGGATGACGTCAGCACACATGGCACACATTAGCAGAGATGCATAGCACACAATAGCAAAAGGAGCAGCAGTAGCGTATGGAACCAGAAAGGAGGATAACTTCAGAATGCGCGGTGCACGTTAGCAAAGATGCATAGCGCACGATAGCAAGAGGAGCAGCAGCGGTGCACGGAACTTGGGCTGACGTCAACTGACGCCAGAAACACGTGGCGCACGTTAGCAGATGATGACGCGGTACACGATAGTGCGAGACAAGCAAGAGGCACGTAGGGCGAGTGGGAAAACAACACAGTGTGTGGCCAATATTCGAGCGGCGCGTTAGACGTCATATGAAGATGATTCTGGTGGCGTTGGCTTTGTCTTGAAGAGACGAAGAAGTTAGTATGGTCCAATCGTTGAAACAAGAAAAGATTAAATACACAGAAACCAACATGAGAAAAAAGTAGTCTGCTAGATAGAAAAAAAAAATGATGTAGAAGAAAAGAAGGCTAGGGGAAAACGCTAGGCTTTGATACCATGTTATGAGAGTAAAAATAGAAGAGAAAAGAGAAACTCTTGTATTCAATATATATTATGAGTGAATAGGTACACACTCCTTTATACAGGAGAGAAGATAAGTATATACAGAGAATATACTCTATAACAGATATATACAATTATATATCTGAGAACCATGAGGTTAGTTACGATAATAGCGACAATTGTGGTCTAGACACTACTCTAGTTTTGGAATAAAAATTTGCTACAATGATAATATTACGTCATGGTCACACATAGCATCACAAGTTAATAATAACTATTATATGAAAAGAATAAACCTTACTAATCACCTTGTCACACATGAAATAGTCAAAAAGCTAAAAATTCACTAAAAAAACCAAAAAGCCAAAGAACTATGCCAAAAAGTGAAAGATTCCATTTCTTCTCTCCTTTTTTTGAGCAAAAATAAGACAAACAACATTGTTCATGCATCTATGGAATAAAAAATTAGAAGTCTGGACAAGAAGATATCTTTGGCACAAAAATGAAATACAGAAGGGAAAGAAAACATACAAATAAAAAATCTTAAACCAACTAACCAAACACAGTCCTTCACACAAATGCTATGAAAAGATTGAATCCGAAGATGGTTCTCTTCATCAATGGGAGAAGCACATAATTCAAACAATCAAGCTCATACACAACACATACTGACCTTTCCTTAATTTGTAACTATTCATAAAAGCAATCAACTTAACCTGTTTTTCAGAAAGTAACAAAATGGCTGGTTCAATCTACAGAAAAATGTTTCTGGTTTTCGCAACAGTTTAGGTATTCGATGAACAAGAGGCTCCTTCAAATCAAACCACAGAAGGAGACATATTTCAGCCCATTGTCTATATTACTGCTTTAAACACACACCTAAGGCTAACTTAAGATATATAATGTAAGTATCCACCTGGAAGGATCTACCAAAATGCAGCCAAAAATATTAGACACATAATCACATAGGTATTGAGGCACCCCTGACTGGGAATGCTCCAAAAGCACCATGCATACCCTTTATGCATATGCATGTTACTTGCTTTCTAGGTAAATGATGAATATGATTTAAAAAAAGGGGAAATTCCCAATAAGTTACTTTTTCCATAAAAGTACTATTGAATCGTATTAACATATGATTCAACCCTATCAACACAGTGTTGTTAATATGAGATAGTGGTTTACTTTTATGGGAAACGCAGGACTTTATTGACAGTTTCCATTAAAAAAAATGGAAGATCCTTGTAGTATATATTGCAAAACAAGCAACAAAACCT